CGTCGCCGCGCGCCCTGACCAGTGCTCCTCGAACCGCACTTGGGGCGATAGTTTTCGGCACTCCTGCCGTGGTGACATGTGTCACCGCACTCGCGTACGTACAGTTCGCGACGCTGGGCACCGCCCCGTGGTAGCACCCACAACCAACGACTGTCCCGCCGTCGTCAATGTCGCCCCGGCTACAAGCGAAGTCGGCCCCTGAGTGAGAGATCCGAGAAAAAGTGAGAGGTCCGTGAAACTGAAACCGAAGAAGTCATAAATTTTCACGGTCGACCGAACAGCTTAGTGGAAAGAGGATAGAACATATACATATATTGTTTTCTCACTCTAATGCATAGCGATTCTGTCGTTCATTCATCGAATTCTACATTAATTGATTCGTAATAAGCCACTCGCTCGGGTCTGGCCAGTTGCTTGTTACGAATCCGGTACATTATATTGTTTCCTCACTCTGATGCAATGGCGATTCTGTCATATTATGAAAAGTATATTCTCCGAAATTATATTATATCAATATGCTTTTTTTTAAATCTAATGGCTGACAGTGATCCATAATTTGAGGTACATTTTTATCTATAATTTTAATTCATTTATTTAGCAAAAATAAAAAAAGTTGAAGAAAAAATTAGTTAAGTATAATACAGTATGCATAACCCAACTTACCGATCACCAGTCTTTGACTCTATGCTTTGAGCCATTCTGTTACTTGACAATTCGGTAACGCGAACCTTTTATGAACGAGTAAGACAATTTTTCAATGCAATTAATACAATAAATAAATCTTCAGTCCACGAGCAGGGCTTTTCTCCAAATGGAGAGCACGAAATAGTCAGATGAACATGAAAAAAAATGAATAAGTTTACTGATCAAAAATATTTATTTTAAATAATTTGATACTTAACTTTTTCGAAGTCTCTGATCCACGAGCAGGGCTTTTCTCCAAACGGAAAACACGTACCACTTACATGAGTCTTCTTAATTATTGTCCTCCTTTTTAACCGACTTCGAAAAAGGAGGAGGTTACTCAATTCGAT